TCCTCCACTCATTATCCTCCTGGTCTCTAACTCCACACAGGCTTTTGCTTTACTGCCTCAGCCTTGGCTGCTCTTCCCACTTTTGCCACTGAGCCCCTCCCCTCTTTGCCCTTACAGACCCCCCTTCCCCTTTGCAGCATCCTTACCAAGCAATGCTCAGATCCCAACACTGCATTCGCCCCAGGGCCCAGATCAATTTCAATGAACACCCCATAGAAGTGGCTAAACAGACTCCTAGCCATTGCCTTTCCAGCTCCCTGCGATTCTCCTGGCAAATTGTGATGGCCCTACGGGACTGACTATGGACTGGAGTTGGACAGATCCCCTGGCCGTGTCCAGCCTGAGAGATTGACTGACCATGGTCTCACCCTTGGGCTGTGTGTGATCTGTGCCTATAGCTATACAAGGAACCCCTGATTGATAACAGATTGGACTGGACAGAGGACGAACGCCCAGAAGTTTCTGACATGGCCATTTGCTTGAATAAACATACAGCGCGGTGCCATGCAGACAGCCTGACACATGCTGTGGGTGTTAGATAGATGCTTTGGTACGTTGTACAGTAAGACGACATAGGAACATATAGGATTTTTAAGGGGCTTGACAGGGTAACTACTGAGGGGATGTTTTCCCTTCTGGGTGAGGCTTGGACCAGAGGGCACAGTCTCCCAACAAAGAGGCACCAATTTAAGCCTGAGGTGAGGAGGAATTTCTTCTCTCAGAAGGTTGTGGGTCTTTGGAAATCCTTGCCACCGAGAGCTGTGGGGCTAGAGTCCTTGTGTTTCTTTAAGGCTGAGGTAGATAGATTCTTGAGCAGTAGGGGAATCAAGGGTTACGGGGAAAAGGCAGGAGTGTGGACATGAGGAATGCTGGAGAGGGCCATGATCCTGTTGGATGGTGGAGCAGACTCAAGGGGCCAATTGGCCTACTCCTGTTCCTTTCTCTTACGAACTTATGGTTAAAGCCAGACAGATTCCTCCTGTGTCTGTGTCCTCACAAAACAGCATGTTTATACAGCAGTACTGGTGATATTTAGGAACAAAAACAGAAATTGCTGGAAAAACTCAATCAGTCTGGCAGCATCTGCGGAGAGAAATCAGAGTTAACATTTCGGGTCCAATGACCCTTGTTCAGAACAGATGGCAGCTAGGAAAAAGTTGATATTTATGCAGAAGTTGGGGTGGGAGGAGGGGTGAGGGTAAATGATAGGTGCAGATAGAGCTCGAAGAGAGAGAAAAATAGTTGGACAGACAAAGGAGTGGGTAAAGGTTAGTCTGGGGGAATGAATAGCTGCTAATAGTGTGTATTTGTAGCTGACAACAGGTAATGTGTGGCAGCAGCCCACATGATGACAAGGCTTGGTGTATGGGGTTTGGGGTAAGAACATGGTCTCAAGTCCTAAAATTGTTGAACTCGATATTAAGTCCAGAAGGCTGCAGAGTTCCCAAGTGGAAAACGAAATGCTGGTCTTCCAACTCGTGCTGAGCCTTGCTGGAGCATTGCAGCAAACCTGAGACAGAGATATTGACCAGCAGAGATGTTGGTGCGTTGAAGTGGCTGGCAACTGGAAGCTCGGGGTCTTTTTTGCAGGCAGAAAGTAGATGTTCTGCAAAGCGGTCACCCAGTCTATGCATCATTTCCCCACTGTAGAGGAGACCACATTGTGAGCAGCAAATGCAGTAGACTAGATTGTAGGAAGTGCAGATAATGTGCTGCTTCACCTGGAAGGTGTGATTGAGCCCTCGGATACTGAAGAGGGAGGAAGTATATGGACAGGTCATCAGTAGATTCTTAATTCTAGATATTTTTAAATTGAATTCAAATTCCACCATCTGCTGTGATTTGAACTCAGGTCCCCTGAACATTAGCTGGACTAATAGTCCAGCAATAATACCACTTGGCCATTGCCTTCTCTGATTTTATTCTATTTATCCGAGGTAGCAATTTTAAATGGATAGATGATGTCCAAAGCTTCTCAGTACAAAATCTGTAACGTGATGCTATTTTTGTGCAAGAAGTCACAATTTGTTCAAAAGATGGAACAGATTGACTAAAATAGAAATATCATCATCAAAAGATGAGCTGACGTGATCAGAGATCTAAAATAGCGTTTCTCTTTTCTGTTTGCTAATCTGTAAAAACTTGGCTGCTGAGCTTCGAGAATGAGGTGGTGCTTCAGACTGAGAAGAGAGGAGAGATGCTTCTTACTTTCCTCTGGGTGCTCTGGTTTCCTCCCACAGTCCAAAGATGTGCAGGTTAGCTGGATTGGCCATGGTAATTTGCTCATAGTGTCAGGGATGTGTAGGTTAAGTGGTTTAGTCATGGGAAATGCAGAATTACAGGGAAAAAGGTTAAGAAGGGATGGATCTGGGTGGGATGCTCTTCGGAGGGTCAGTGCAGACTTGATGGACCGAATGACCCTCTTACACACTGTAGGGATTCTATGATTCTAGATGATTAACATCTGAAAGTCAAACACCGCCCAAGTATTCTACAAACCAGCCTGATTTTGGGGAGGTGATGGCCTAGCGGTATTATCGCTAGACTATTAATCCAGAGACCTAGGTGATGTTCTGGGGGACTGGGCTCGAATCCCGCCATGGCAGATGGTGGAATTTGAATTCAAGAAAAGATTCTGTAATTAAGAGTCCAATGATGACCATGAATCCAATGTTGATTGTTGGAATAACCCATCTGGTTCACTAAAGTCCTTTAGGGAAAGAAAACGCCATCCTTTCCTGGTCCGGCCTATACATGACTCCAGACCCACAGCAATATGGTTGACTCTTAACTGCCCTCTGGGCAATTAGGGATGGACAATAAATGCTGGTACTAACCAGTGACACCCTCATCTCGTGAATGAATAAAAAAACATTTCAGCTCCGGACTCGAAAATAAAATCTGCCACTACGGATGGAGAATGACTGCAAAATGGATACCAAATATGAATTAGATTGAAGAAACCCTACTAGCTACAATCATGAGTTAACTACTTTTTCAGAAATAGATTGTGTAGATTTTCCTTTCTTTCATTGTCTGTCCCCTTCATCAGTGCTGATTTATGTGAACAATAAAAGGCAAATACCTTGTGGTATTATCGCTGGACTGTTAATCTAGAGATCCAGAGTTCTGAGGAAGGGTCACCGGACCCGAACCGTTAACTCTGTTTTTTCCTTCACAGATGCTGCCAGACCTGCTGAGCTTTTCCAGCAACTTTGTTTTACAGCATCCGCAGTTCTTTCGGTTTTTATTGAGTATTTAACTCACTGCCACATCTCTTCCAGGCATGCCCACCTTGAAGAAGTTCTGCTCCTCTCTCCGACGGGATTTCCGTTCCAATCTCTCTTCTTGCCCACCGACATTAATTTCACTGTCGCTCCTGGTGTTTGACTAGTTATTTGTTAAAACTCACTTCCACAGCCATATCACATTCCTCAGTGACTGCCTCCAGCTCAGACTCACCCCATGTGGATTCCAACTGAAGTTCCATCCCTCATGTTTTGAATCCTCCCAGGATCACAGATATCTCCATGATGTTTAACGTTCCATGGACAACTGCTCTCGCCACATCTTGAGATCCAACTCAGTGCCATGCGGCGCCACATGCGCACGCTCAACCTTTCTCTCAAACATTGTTGATTGTTGGAGAAAACTCATCTGACTCACTAATGTTCTTTAGGGAAGGAAACTGCCATCTTTACCTGGTCTGGCCTACATGTGATTCCAAACCCACAGCGATGCGGTTGACTCTTAACTGCCCTCTGGGCAATTAGGGATGGGCAATAAATGCTGGCCTAGCCAATGCCACCCTCATCACATGAATGAGTTAAAAAATTCTCTAGGCATCAGCCAATTCAATTTTCACATCTCTGACTTAGCCTTCCCATTAACTTACAATAGTAGAGCTTCCTCATATTGAAAACCTCCTATATAGTTGGCCTGGTAGAATTTCCCCTTAATAGTTGTCAGTTATGGAAACCCAACTCATTAGAGTACAGAAAGGTGATTAGCCATGATTGAATGACACAGCAGACTCGATGGACCAAATGGCCTAATGCTGCTCCTACATCTTATGGTCTTACTGTGACCACTCCAGCTAACGTAACCTGTATAATACTTTTTAGATAAAAGTGACAAAATGGCCCTTTTAAGTGCACGTTATCTCCAAGAAATAATTGTACTCTGTGTATATAATTGAAGGTTATTTATATGTTTGTTAAAAGAACTCTTTTTCAAACACTTAGAGTGCTGGAGAAACTCAGCAGGTCTGGTAGCATCTGTGGAGAGAGGAACAGAGTCAATGTTTCACGTCTGGTATGATTAATAAGAAATAGGAGCAGGAGTAGGCCATCTGGCCCCTCGAGCCTGCTCTGCCATTCAATTAGATCATGCCTGATCTTTTCATGGACTCAGCTCCACTTACCTGCCCACTCACCATAACCTTAATTCATTTACTGCTCAAAAATCTGCCTTTGCTTTCAAAACGTTCAACCAGATAGCCTCAAACGCTTCACTGGGCAGGGAATTCCACAGATTCCCCCAAATCCTCTTAAAAAATTTTAGATTTCTTCAGAGAATCAACTGAAATTAATAAAAGAACAAAATTAATAAAAAGTGAATTTCAGTTTCATAAAGGGGCAAAATGTAACGTTATATATATAAATATATATAAACGCATCAAGTAAAGGAAAAAAATGGGGAAAAAGACTTTTTTCAGTTCAGTAATGCAACTTTTTAAATTTCCTGTTACACCTTAAATTCCTTGCCTTTTGGAAGGACTCCAGGAGATCCTGCGAGATGTGATAAGGTTCCTCAGGGATGCTGCTTGGCCTGCTGTGTTCATCCAGCTCTGCACCTTGTTGTCTCGGATTCTCCAACATCTGCAATTCCTGCTATCTCTGGTTCGGGGGCAGCTCAGTCAAGTTATTAGCAGAACCGATCTCTAAAGGGAGGGGGCAGCAGCGAGCCTCAATGCGAAAGCAGGAAGTTTTAACAGTGATCCCACTCGCTGCTGTTTGCCGCATATTCACAAGGACCGGGGGAAAGATGGACTGTTTGTAGGTGAATTTCTCTCGACATCATCCGTGGATCTGCTGTGCTCTGGACTTGAATGTGACTGGCGTGGCAATTAGCCAGACTTTCAGCGGAAGAGGCAAAGAGATAATTGAGAGAGAGAGAGAGAGAGAAAGTTCAGTGACTTGGAGGAGGGAAAGAGAAAGTTGAGAATAAAAGTAGAGCTGGTGTTTACATGGGTTTCCTGCTGGGGACTGAGGCGCTGTTCCGACCGGATAGAAGTGCACTGAAGTGGGGGCAAAGTGACTTAAACAGAATCAATGGATCGCCATCCCAACTTGATGGCTGTGTGGCTGAAATTGAAATTATGTGTCATCACCATCCTGTTCACAAAAGGCAAGTTTTTTTTACTGACAAACCAGATCTTTCAGATTGAGCAAGTTTGAGAACAGATTGGAGGAAACAAACTTTTCCATTTTCTTTTTTTTTGGAAAAAGTTATCAAAATGCATTTTAGAAGCTTATGTTTCATAATAGTTCAATTTCTTCTGGTTTTCCGTTTTCAATATTTGCCTCGTATCGAAATTTCTTCTCTAAGTGGGGAATGCACAGAATATAGCAGGGAGCTGCCTTACCGAAGTGCTCAATGTTTCTCTAATGCAAAGTGTAACCTGACAGCATACAGGAGCTTTAACTCCACTTTGCCGGTGGCTCTAACCAGTCTTGCGGTGTTTCCCGGACGCCAGTGATTAAGGAGCGAGGGATGGAATGAGTTGTGACAGGGGCTGGCTGTAGAAACTCATTAATGAATGTTAAGCGAGTTTCCTGGAGTGTGGAGCCAAAAGAAAACACGATTAGATTATTGACCAAGAGGAGCTTGAACTGCACTAATTGCATGAGAATATTTGTCAGAGGTTCTTGGAGTAAATTAGAACAAAGGTCCCTTTCAAAATACAGGCAACAATTTTTCCCCACATTTTCTTCGTTTGATTCTTTTCATATGTGTCTTTACGTTTCCCCCTCTCTAACAATGAAACTGAAATCATAAATTTTGTTCTTCCCTTTTGTTAATTTCAACTGATTCTCTGAGGAAATCGAAAAAAAAAGTCCTAATTTGTTACAGATGAAAGCCTCACTAATTCAGGCTTTTTCCAGTGGACCGAGTTAAGCCAGCTAGGCTGGCAATGATCTGATGAAAGGGGTTGTTTTGGGGTCAGGCTTTGTTATAAACATTGATTCAAGTTTACAAAGCCTGTGGACAAAAGTGGGTCAAAGACACGAACCATTAACGTTTCCTATTTCAGCTACTTACACACTGAGCCCTCCTTATAGTCACTAATAACAGCCTAGAAATTGCATGCTGCGATATATGCACACTAATGTTTAACATATTTATGTGAAATTACTTACTAGCTTAATGAAAACTTTTTTTAAACCACCCTATTAAAATACAAAAGTAATTTATTAGGAACATGTTAAGCTTTTGAAATAAGTAGCACTCAAACTTGAGAGTCAATTCTGAACCATAAGCCGTTATGTTCATTAAGTTCAATTGTAGCTGTCGCACCTCCCTCTTCTCCTTTATTTGACGGTAGCCTTTGGTTTCTGATTGTGCTCTGTGAAATGATATTTACAATTTTTCTATATTATATGCACATAAAAAGGCACAAATGTAAACGCATGTGGTTGCTACTGTTCTTAAACTATCGTATTCTAAAAGCATTTGTTACATCTATAGAATAATATACTTCAACATGTATCAAATCATGGCACAACCACTGGTGGTGGGGGTGCAAGACAATGTGCACCCATTTTAATTAAATGGTTAATTTTCCACCCTCCCTCCCACTCAAAATGCCATAAATGCCCAGTGTCTTCCCCGATTCATTAAACATGGTTGTGCCTCTAAGTGAACCAATTTGGAAAGGTATGCTGCATTTCACTTTATTTTTAAAAATACCTTGAATGTTTAGATGGTGATGTGCAACTTTCCTTGTGTTAGCTTTAAACAATAAAGTTCAAGTTACATCATTTTCAGGTTTGTGTAATTCTTACCCAATTGCAGGTTCATGTAGCTGATCTACTTTCACATTCCGAAGTATGTAAATCAAATGTCTGACGCTTCAATAAATGAAGATGATACATAATCAGGAAGTTTCAGTAAATGAGATTCCCAAACTTCCAAAACTCAAGAGACTGTGGAGAAATAATTGAAATGCTTAGTTTAAGAATGCTTTATTTAATGTTGATGGAAATACTGAAGTTTGATTTGCAAAAGAGCATGCATCTTCTTGAAAGATAGGAAATAACAGAACTTCAATTCCCAGAAACAGCTCACTGACTTGTTTAATTTTGACTCCCAACTGGAGTGCTGCTAACCTTGACTCCCAGAGTTGTGGGGATTTTGCTAACCACACATTTATGTTCCAGCAACTGTGGAAATAACAAAAATAGGCTTTCTTAACACTGATCATCTTTGTCTGGTTTCTAAAACACATGCAATTTCTGGCTGCATTGGGTATCATGCAAGTTTAAAGTCTGCATTACAGGATCAAAACAATGAAAGAGGCTTTTATTCTATGCAGCAGTCGATGTGACGTTGTAAATATGTTTTCATTGAAACTGTGGAGTTGTACAGCAGGCAGCATGTTTTATTTCTAATGCTCATGCGTCATTGAGTTGTGGGACCAAGATATAATGAAATGTCCAATTGAAAAAAAATGGCATCTTGCCATTATTTCTAATCTTGTCTCGGACTGAGCATGTGCACAGACTTTGCCTCCACCATGCATCTTAACAGTGTATTCTTTTATATAATCCAAACAATTACATTGTTCTACGCACCTTCCAATAGGCATTGTGCTCCATATGACTTCTGTTCCTTTTCCTCTCTTCAGTGAGCCAACCGGCAGTTTCTAATCTCTTTTTGGGAAAACAATCCTCCTACTCACTATTCTCACTTGAAGCTGATTAATGTCATACTCCTGCCCTTCAGCTGTATCTTCACAGTCCATGTTAAACAATCTGCTCGCATCTGCATTATTTAAAAACTGCTATCTGTTTCTTTTTCCTGCATCTGCAATTGGCCATATATTGGCTTTTCCATTTCAACCATGATGTGGGATGTGGGAGCCACAGAATGGAGTTAGGAGCTTTTTACATGTTGTTGCTAGCTGTAACTACTCCTGCCAGGCAGATCTGCTAACAGATCTGTATTGTGCTGCCATCCTGCATCCACTATAACTCTGTAAACTGCTCTGTGATATTTGTCATCCAATATGTCGAAGTTGACCAGAGAGAAAATGAATGAAACTTGCAAATAACATATACTGACTCATCCTGTATACCTCAAAATGGAGCTTTTTTAAAAAAATTTGATTTGATATTGTCACATGTACCGAGACATGGTGAAAAGTATTGCTTTGCATGCTATCCAGACAAATTATACCTTACATAATTCATCAGGCTAATAGAACAGAATGCAGAATATAGCGGTACAGCTACAAGAGATGGTGCAGAGAAAGATCAAATTTACTCGCTGTACATTCATTTCTAATGAATATTTTTGATTTTATTGGTTTGCCCTCTGGAAGAGACATCTGTAGTTTTCAACTTTACTCAAATGGCCAAACTACTGACCTTTTCTTTTCTAGATGTTATTTCTTACAGTTCTTTCTGCTGTGCTTGCTTGTCTTGTTTAATGGCCTGTACATGGAATCTTCAGCATAGATTTTATCATCATTTCAAAGGCCATTCAACTAGCAGGGGTTTAACTTAGTGTCTCACAGGTACATGTTAGTAGAGGAGTTCAGAGCCACATTGGCACAAAACTAAGACTAGTTTGTGCTTATATTTGGTTGTGGAGTGTAGTAAAGTGAAAAACAGGAGGGTATGGAGCAGTTGGTTACAGTGTTGGTGAATGCAATAAAACTGGCAAAATGAAAGCACTTAACGGAGAGGACTGGATTGAAATAGTAACAACCTTTGTGATAACGAAAGTGCTCGATAAGGCAATAGCAGAATTAGAATACTTATGTGCTAAAAGCTCATACCTGGTAGCGTTTAGCAGAAAAAAGATTTCAGTTCACAGTCATCAGTTCTTATGTTACATATTGAAATATATACTGAGTCACATTCTTAAGGGGTTGAAACTACTCTTTTAACAATAAATAGGAGAATGCTTTATTTTTCATAATTATTTAAACTATTTATCAAATTGCCGGAATGGTTAATTGTTGGCAAATTTGAGAATGAGATGCTGAAAGGATGTTTTCCCTATTGGGAAACACTGGAACTAAGAGACACAATTTCAGAAATAAGGGGCTCCTGTTTAAAACAGAGATGAGGAAAACGATATTCTATCAGAGGGTTATAAATTGGTGGAACTTTCCTTCTCCAGCGAGCAGTGGAAACAGGGGCATGGAATATTATTAAGGCAGGGCCAGTAGATTCTTGACTAACAAGGGAGTCAAAGGGTATCAGGCATAGGCAGAAAGGTGGCATTGAGGCCTTCAGCATTTTGATGATGATCTAGATGAGTGACGCAGCTGGCTGGAAGGACTGAATGTTCTATTCCTACTCTTAGATTGTACATTCGAATGAGATTTAATTACTGAGTCTTAGGTTATGTCCATGTGGGTTGTACTTGGCTGTGAGTTGAAACATGCTGGAGTGGAAGAGGATAAAACTGGAAATAAGTCACTTAAGTGATGTGGACATTCACTGTGTGATTATGTCAGGTCAGCGGCTGGAAGGTAGGCCACACTTTATATCCATGATATGGCTGGCACTTCCAGTGACCTCCTGATTTCAGCATCTCTTTGACTGGAGTGTTGAGTGAAAGACCCAGCATTCGTCCTTGGAGAGGGAAAACAAAAACGGCTGATCAATGCTGGCACCTCTTGTATACATTCCCCCTACAGATTGGAGAATGGCATTAACAGAGACCTGAAAATTGATCACATATCAGAGCCCGGAAGGGTGGCCAGGATTTTCTCCTTGCCAGCTCAAGAACTTCTACCCATGCAGTTTAATTAGTCGGTAATAAAAGTATTGCAACATGTGCAGGCCAGGCTGATATAAGGTGGGATATGAGATCGAAAGGTCACGAAACAAAAGCCTTCAAATTGGAGTATTTAATGGGAACTGGAGTAATGTACTTTCTTGTTCCAGTCAAATGGCTGATCATTGCTCACTTGGAAGAGTTTGTTATCTTTATTTTGTCCAATTACCTCACTCATGAGCAACTTTACAGTGATGTGCAGCCACCATTGGCAAATTGAAGGAAAAATATCCAGAAAAAAATAGGAAAATATTAACCAGAAGGAACACGGATTTCATCCAGTCATTGTGGTGCAATCACTCTTTAGAAACTGGTTCAGGAAAAAACAGATCATATTGCTCATCAATCCCATTTCATCTGAAGTGTCCTGACATGGAATTAATTGACCCTTCTCTCTCTTTTCCATTACCACAACCACAGGATAACCTACTATTAAGAACATGAAGGGACCTAAATAACATACCAGCCCAAACTGACTGCAATTCTACTAATGCATTTGGAACACACAGAACTGAAGATCAAAGTAAATTCAAGCACAAGACTCATCGACTAAATCAGATGGGCTATGGGTGCAGTTCACCCAAAAATCTCTTCTGTCAGAATTTGGCCAATTTCTCTCCAAGCCAGTATTCAGAAGTAAATCTGGGTGTGGGTGGAGGCAAGGCCATGGAGTGATGGTAGTTGGCATTGGCCCAGAGTATGTTGGGTCTGAAGAAGGCCTCTTGCTCCTTCCAAATCTGTAAACACAACCATTTTGGGGTATTTTCTCCTGGTGCCCCATTTAGGGACCACGGATTTAGCAATTCCAAGCCAAACACTGTCAATAGAAACTTGTTCATAATTAGATCTGACTGGGGCAAACCAATTTACTATCATGGGTCAGAAATAATTTTGGGCAGTCAACAAAGTTTCTGAATAAAGAAAGCCCCTGACCCAATTTACTTGTGGCCCTGATACCCATGAATACAGGGTGCAGGCCTCTCTCCTGCCAAATTGATTGTCTCACTTTAGGCCTACAACGATGTTAAATTTAGATCCCTAATTTCTGTCCATTATTATGCTTTAAAAAAGTGCAGTAATACTATTAACATATACTTGATCTGCAAAATCGCAAAATCACTTCTCGACCGTTATCGATTTGAGTTCCTTTAAAAAAAATACTAATTTTCATAAAACCAGCTACATGCTTTAGGAGTCTCTGATAAAGCAGGCTTTCTAATCTTAATCCTCTCCAAAAATGTTCTAAATGATGTTACAGCACCCTCTAGTACTGCAATCATTATACAAATTAAATAGTTTGCTTACTTTAGCCATATCTATACTTTGCATTAATTTAAAGCATCTAGTTTATGAATTTTTGTCCCCATCAAGATGAAAGATTTTAGTGTTTGGGGTATAGAAAGCATTTTTAATATTTACATTGGTTGATATGAAATATTTTACAAACCAGGCAGAGTATGGATCAGCTGTAAAGTGCCTGTCTCTGGGATGCACAGCAGCTTCTGAAGATGCTTTCCTGTCTGGTCACACCATCAATCCAACTGTTGCCTGGACCCCCCGCTGCAGGTTGTGGGGCTGTGCAGAGTGTTTAACATGAGTAAACATATTCAGCTGGCAAGTGTTGGCATAACTGATTCATTTTGCAGCAAAGATATTGGCATTTATTCTTTGAATCTTTACCAGGAGCAGACTGCATGAAATGTACAGTTCTATAGGTCTGGCACCTGTTGCAAACTCCTCATGCGCAGGCTTTGGAACCTGCTGTTAATCGAAGGGACTTCATATGATCCTAACCTAAATGAGAGTGGTGAAATAGTATTTGATTTGTACTGTGTTCTGTGCAACACTGGCGAAGACTGACCAAGGGATGTCTGGAGTCCGTTCCAGTTTGCTCTTGGCAAACTTATAACCTCCTAATTGCCAAGTTCCTAGATTGAGCAGGAAATTTGGAATGCTGCCTTGTTCAAATGCCAGGAGAATCTGCTAAGATTGCATATGTGGACCCCACAAGGAACTGGAGTGAAACAGATGACTCAAACTCATTTTTATCAGGACCCTTATGGTTGGCTGGGAGAGGACACTATTTATCCATTTGGGGAAAAATTGAAATCGGATCCCAGGGCAGTGATCTAATTACACTACACCACCCAATTCCCTTTCAAGACATGCTTGGAAAGATGTTATCTATTCCAAAGGATTTTACAAACTAACGTAGGAATTTTCAGTACTCACACTATATCATTGCACTTTAGGTGATGGTACACAGAGAGTATAAATTTCAAAATGACATTCTTGAAGATTTGAACCAAATGATTAGTCTTGTTATTACAAGTTGCTAAGTGAGCAGTGTATAGTTAAAACAGTGGATTTTCAAGGCACTGTGAACGTGAACAAGCGTCAAATTGCATGGGGTAAATGTTTCCATTAATATCATTGCCTGTTATCTGTCCAATAAACAAAAGGTTAGAGGTGCATCAGTCTGTTTGCTTTACTGTTGCAGTGATGCCAGCAGCCTCCAGGTTTGAACAAGATAAGAATGATGGATTCAAACGTCCGTAAACGATTCCAAACTGGTATGGCCAACTGGGTCAGTAAGATAATTAGTCAATTATTGAATCCATTTATGGCTCCCATGCATCTCCTGGCACTTCCCTACATGCCCTACTTGTTTGAGAGCATTTGTTGACTACCTGCTTGTTAAAATGCTAACATTTCCACTGATTTATGCAACAAAGTGCTTCCTGACATCACTCTGAATGCTCAAGCTCCATGTTTAAGGTTCTGCTGTTTTGTTCCGGACTCCCACACCACAGGAAATAGTTTCTC